ATCATCGCCCTTGAGACCGCTGCCATTACTCTCGTCGTGGCTCTCGTTCAATTAATATTCTACGTAAAATTTCCGACGAATGGCCGTCAACAAGTTTCGGTATGCAAGACTCTGAATGGCAAGCTTAATCTATACGCCGTGAAGTAATGCACCAAAAACCCACCTAACCCCGTGAGGGGAATACTCATGGCTTGAAATACCGAAGAGCCCAAGAAAGCGGTTGACTCTCCCCATCCAGTGACAAGCCCTTTCCAAGCGATAGAAGTGACAGACATCGATCGATCGTATCTGATCAAGAATGAAAGCAACCCCCACTCAAATTTCGTGTATGTGTGATTGATCAGCAAAGACTAGGGCGCGACATACCGATAGACTTTATAAACAGAGAGTCCCCTTTGATATGGTGAGCTCGTCTGACAGCTAAATGGAAAACTCTAGACACCTCCGGGAAATTTCTTGACTCCGCCTCGCTTTGTGCAAACAACCATTTGAGGAAGGAAGCGGGCACGAATGACGCAAGTCCTCCACCAACTCAGAGTGTATGTAATGTAATGGAGTGCTCCACACTCCAATCGAGGTTACGATGGTACGGACTTGTGCCAAATGCGGTTGTTTGCACAAAGCGAGGCGGACACCAGAAATTTTCGGGGGGTGTCTAGGGTTTTGCATTTAGCTAGAACCGAGAACGCCAATTAATTACATTGTTTGGAGAGGAATATTTGCAAGAACGAACTAGAGGCGCGGTTCTTTCAATTTCATGAGCGCGACAAGATGTGTAATGGGACTTGAAAACTTACTGAGAAAGATCCTTCCCAGCGCCTACAGCCATTTCTTTCGCAGGAGGTCAATTCTCTTTCTATGGGGGTGTGGGAGGTTGTGGTGCCGAAAGTCTGCACGAGTTTTTGAGCAGATATGCGTTCATTACCCTAAGGGCTGATGCGGAAAACTTTCCGAGATTTACGGGCTATACATACCGGAAGATTCCATCCACTAGTACATACTTGGATCATTGGTGAGTGTTTGAACTTTGGGGTTCCTTTTGTCCGATGACTTTCACTCCTCAACGTCTCCACGGGAAAAACAAAAAAAACTTTTGTCGCTGGCGACCTTCAAAAGAGATTTTGCAAAAAGCCGCGAGATAGATTGTGAGGAGGGAGAACGACGTGCATAGAACTGTTTGTGTGGTTTCAGTGGTCAAGCTCAAGGTTTGATGCAGTTGAGTCTATTCCCAGAATGTGTATGCTGATCATCGCCATGATTGCCGAGGTGTGAGAAGTGAAATCATCTGAAATGGTCACTTGAAGCAATCGTCAGGGACAATACAATGGGTTGGAACCACTTCGCCAGACCAGCCGCAAATAACTATCCTGGGTCGAGTTGTAACGCAGAATGTCAGAAGGGGTCATCGGGGTAGCCGGCTCGAAATTTGCTCGTGTTGAGTTGACGATTTGGTTCTTGAAGACGAGGACCGGACTTCCCCTAGATGACGAAACCTCCGGCGAGAACGGTGAATTGGCTTCCATCGGCGGTCTGCAGAGGCGCTGAGAGACCCCATTCTGCTCTTCAAACTTCAGCGCACGTACGTCGTAAACCCTGAAAGTAGCAGTAGTGGCGGCGAAAACTGTATAGAGAGGTCTGTTGGAGGTCTGGGCATAGGCCAAAATTTTGTGATGGCAGGTGCCGGTGAGCGCTGTGCCAAAATTCAGAAGTTTCCCACGGCTTGAATTTTAGCAATCTCCCAAATTTAAATCACCCTTCACTCTCCCTGCAAACACTGGATCTATATATTGCAGACCCCAACCTGCCAGGCCCTCAAATTGCCTGTCGTCGCATGCCTTCGTGCTCACGAATTTTCAGATTTAAGACATTCCCCTTCAACCTGCAGAGCAACGATGGCTGCCTGGACCCCCCTCCCCTTCATTACAAGGATCCTTGGATAACTGGGCCCGCCGTCTATTGACGAGATCATTACTTGCATCACCGTCGCCTCACCGTTGTGGGTTTCATGCACACCCGAAGTTTTCTTTTTTTTTTCGTCCATCCGTCATCACACTGCCTTCTCAATATGTCAACAACAAAATATTCTCTCATCGTCATACATGAATGGTTTGAAGAGTTTGAATCAGAATTTGGTTTGCTCATGTTTCGTAGGGTATTTTCTTTCTCTCTCTTGGCCTTTATCCCTTTTTCCCACTCTTTCCTTATCGATATCGTGAAGCATTCAGTAATAGATTTCCTGCCTAGTGCCCTCTGCTCCATTGGAAGCTAACTTCCAGGATCCTGGGACTCCGGCGAAGCTGCCTTTGCTACATCACTACTTATGAATACCACATATTTTTATTACGCTTGCACAAAATATTTTACATGAATATCGTTTCTCCCGGATGATCTCAAAGCTGGCCAAGCGAATTAAAAAGTGGCTACGTCGCAGTAAAGAGACTGTTGTCTCTGGCGTAAGGAGAAGGTTCCCTCGTCTTAATCTCCCATAGTCCATGCTTGCCCCTTTGCAAGCCGACGAATATAGATTGTCGCCCCAAAAAGTCGACCCGCAGAATCCCCCTCTTCAGAGCCGAGATATTCCCGTTACATCTCTCCGTATGGGCATCTTGCAACCTATCCCGATCGTTGGCCGTCAGTTCGATATTAAACATATCATGTGCCCCAATGCGCTTATGCAACTGCTCGAATAATTGGATGCAAAAGTCGAAGATCGTGATGCCGTTGGGTTGAGTAGATTTGATATCGATATACCAAGGAAGGAGAGGGTGCCATGCTCGAAGGTGATGTACGGGAGGTGAGGTGGCAAGCTGAAAACCATAAATTTGTTCCGCTGGGTAATCAAGAGGAGGGGCGTACGGTACGGAAGAAGGCTGACGCAGGTCGCACAGGTAAACAGCTTTTTTCGAGCCCGGATACCCAAGGCAAGGGTTCGCTTGAATCCGCTTCTGACCGGATTTCCTGCGGAATACTGCGTTTTCTCCTATTGTACGTCAATCAAGGAAGACCGTGAACGGAGAAGGAACACATACGAGCAACAGCGACGGCTGCAAGTTTCTCGCCAAGCCATTTCGAGAATCGTGTATTCGATGGGCTCGAGTAATCGGCCCTCCAGGTTCGCGGACGTTCCGCCAGGTCATGGGGTGTTGGCTTTCCCCGAGTTTTTGATACGACGCGACGGGGTTGTTTTCCGGGCACGTCGATGTGATAGGGTTCATCCAGTGAATTGTATGGAAGGTTGTTATACGCTGGTGGGGGGATGGATGGATAAGGCGGCAAACAATCATGGGACGTCTGTTTCGGTACGGCCGAGACGTAGGGAGTATTCGTTCGGAATTCACTGGGAAAGTAATTCCGTCTGTGGTCACAATCCGGCCACCGACTGTATTGTGGAGGCCGTGCAGTTGGAGATTGAAGGTCTGCTGATTGCCGAAATGGTTTCCATCTAATATCTTCCCTTGTCGTAGATGAGATGAAAATATAACGGTTCTTCTCAATCTACTCACATGATGGTCGACCCGTACGTGTTTGAATCGGATTAAACTGGCTCTTCGCGGTCAAGAGTCGAAAGATAGGATTGCCGAAAGGTATCGTCGTTGAATGAAAGACCGAAAGGTTTCGAAGGTTTCGAACAAGGGGAACGAGTCTGCGCTACGGATGTCTTCTGCTGTCGTGGAATATATACTGCAATTGTACTGCATCGTATCCATAATTGTTCCCCTTTTCAAGTGTTGTTTTCGTTTCCATCGTTGTTGTTGAGGTATAGGGCCAAAAAGAACAACAAAAGAGTTGTGGGTCCAGACATATGTAGTGATGAGCGAAAAGATTACATAATGTCACACAGCTGCCATCGCAACCATAAATTGAGGCCCTGAAAAGGCTTTGAGTAGTTCATCCAACAACGCTTGTTCTCAAAGTTCACTGCTTTCAATGGCACGTGTATTTTCTGAATGATTGGCTTTTATTTAGTTCGGGCCCCTCAAATAGTAGCCACATCCCAAACTATGCCTCTATAACACTTTATCATAGGGTTCGCGGATTGCCCAGTACAGTCCCGAATGTTACGGTGACTATAGTAGCCAGAACAAAAGTGACAGCAACAATTGCAGAACGAGTGACAGGGAACATTCCCTTTGAAAGAGCCGCCTGGATAGTAAAGTAGCGCACCATTCCTGAACGTCATGCAGTTCAGAGACATTCGATCAGAAAGGGTGCGAGACAGACCGAAAACCAGAACGATGATTCCTAACAAGACCAATGCTGCATCAAGAGGGTGAGTAATTTTGTGAATGGGGAATACTCTCTCATTCACGACGTGTGAACTCGTTTGTGAGAGACCAAGCAGCTGAACAAGGGCTTTGAAAACGATAAATATTAGTGCGAGGCAGGATACATCACGTTTAAACATACCAACGCCAGCGGATGACAGCGCTAAACTGGTTCGAATATATGCGAGGAAGGTACGCTCCGAAGCGAGATGGTCCCGCGCCACGCTCCCCGAATTTTTAAGTGTGATAGAGGGATTGAATCAAGGGGGTGGCGGAACGTGGATCCCGGATATCGGGTTGGGGGGGGGGGGCTCCGCTAGGGGGTCGAAATATTTTTTGTGACCTATTTTAGAAAAGTCCTGCCAATAAGCCAAATAGCGCTGAGAGCCCAAAAAAACTCAACGAACTTTTTTCTAACGCCGCTCAGGTTCACAAAAAGTATGGCAAAGAAGTAAGTCCCTCTTTTATATATATATTCTAATCCAATACTGTATTGCAGAAAAGCGTCGGGGTTTACGAGCGACAGCAAGCTTTGTTGCCCAAAATATGAGAAATATATTCCTGTTGGAACAGGCGGCAAAGCAAATCTGCAGCGCGCAGCGAGACGGAGGTGCAGCAAGATGTCGCTATGCGTGACGTGATCAATCTTGTCGATAGCGAGGATGCCGGCGCACACGTACCCGCGGTAAAAAACGACCGCAATTGGACCGAGGATGTCACGGCTGTGGGGAGGAAGTCAGTTTGGGGGCAGTGCTATTGAATGCAAAGGAGAGGGTTGCGAGACTCTCTGGGTACGTGAATCTTCAAGTTTTGGAGGTTATCAGTTTGTTTTGCTGATCAACTTCATCTGGCACTTTAGTTTCACACGAAATGTGTGAAGGTTGGCCATTCATCGAAGTTTTGGATGTGTCCGACTTGTATGGATATGGGGGTGAAGCGTCGTCGCACGTAGTAACTCCAAAAAAAAAATGTTTTTGACATAGGAACTCGGAAGTTTCCTTTTTTGGGGGGGTAGAGGTGGGGGGGGGTAGGCCGAGGGCCCCCTAATTTGTAATGTGACTGTATATCTAAAATCCACGTTCCGCCACCCCCTTGGATTGAATCGATGCCGCCGTTTCGAAGTCTTCGGTAAGAACGACTTCCCGTGTGTCGTTGTTTTATCGTCTGTCACTTGATGGAGAAGGTTGTGGGTGAACTTTGTGCTTGATTGAGCTGAAGATAGGCGAAGGGGGGAAATTACGCATGCATAGGGATGTGTGTAGGGATGAGAGTCGGAGGATGAGGTGACGACGGCAGAGGAGGGTGTTGAAATGGTAGCAAGAATATACCGCGATCCCTCTTTTTCCGAGGCGGTCATTGATGGTTAAGGAAATGATGGGCGAAGTTTGGAGTAGAAAGTGTTTCGAAGGGTGCGCTCAGTTTATATTCTCCTTCACGATTTCCTGTTGATTCCGATTGGGTTGGAATGATATGCCAAGGCGGAAAGTCGTGGTGATCGATCGACTGATGCCAGAAGCAAGTCAAGACGACACAAAGTCCAATCTGAAAGAGAAGCAGCCTGCAATCCCGAAAATTTCTCCGAGATGTTCAATTCCAAAAAACATTGATTTTATTCTTCTGAGGCCGTCTCTCGCTAGCGTAATTGATAGCCTGAGGGGCCAGGTATCTTCACTCATAGCCACGAAGCTCAGCCACATTCAATGGGTACAGCTATAACTCACCACAGAGAATCTGCCTTGATTGCCATTTTTATTGCTCTGAACCTCCTGCGAGTGTAAAAATCGCTGCCAGCCTTGCAGCAAATACCAAGTTTAGGTTCAGCCGTGCTCGAGAACCTAGAAAATATGAGTACTGTTGAGGGGAAGTAGGCGGGAAAGCATGGTGAACGACGTGCGCATGGTTGATGTCTTGTTTAATTTTCAAAGTGGCGGATTGCTTCGGCCCATCCGTCGTACCCCATTGATCCAAATTCCGTCAAATGAGTTTAAATTTATGTATGTAGAATCCCATTCTTTTCTCCTTCATCATTACAGTATAAGGAAAACGTCTGCACATGCTTCATTTCCATTCCCATTTCACCCTCACACGCCGCCCTTACGGATGATAGTACCCCCCAAGTCCTAAAACACCAATAGTAGTCCCAACAATGGCCTCCTCACTCGCGCGCACCATGGGATTCTTAAAAAGCTCGCTCCTCCCAAAATCAATGAGCCTGAAGCTGAACACCCGGCCTCGAGGATTAGACGCCATCTGGTTGATCGTGCGAAACACGGGGAATTCGGTTAAAGGACCAGGCTGGAAGAGAACGTTGCGCGGTGCGACGGAGTTGTGCACCCATCCTGCGTGATGGAACCGATAAAATAGAGATGCACATTCGTGTCTGAAAACAAATAAGATCTGGTGAGTGAGAAAGAAAGGTTGGTTGGTAGGGCTTACTTATCGTCGATATTGAGCGCGTTGATGTTGATAGGACTTCCACAATTTTCCATGAGAATGATCGGGCTACGATAAACGGAATTTTCCTCATCTTCACTTTCACCTTCACTTTCGTCTGTTACGGGTTCGCTCTCCATGGAGGCGTCGTCATCGACATCACCCGCGTCAGACTGAACAACTTCATCAACACCGGTTTCCCTCTTCTCCTTTCTCACTGGGATATCCTCAACTGGGACGTAATGTCCATAATACTGAGGCACAAGTGCACCCACAGGTACCGGCTCATGCAACGGCGGGACAACGTTATACCCATTCCAATGCTGGAAAAAATGGTCAGGGAACGCCTGGTAATTGCGCGCCTCCCTACTTAGGTGAGCGTCACCCTGCATGGACAGTTTCGCCGTGACACGAACGGTGGCACGAAGTGGATGTTTAAACCTAGCATGTTCCGAGAGGTGGACGCAGTACCCACCCCGTGCAGGGTTCTGATACCCGACCGTGGTGCGGACGATGCGGACGGGACCTTCGTAGACTAACTTGTTGAGTTCTATGCGCTCTCTTAAAACGTAAATGTCAGGTTCTTCGTGCATAGTCGTCACAAATTCAGGCCGGACGTATTCTTTGAGCACAACTTCCCCGCGTTTAGTGGTCCATTTTGAGTCTGTCCCTTCCGCGTCCTCAGCAGCAATAATTTTCTGGGCTTCATCAATGACGCATTGTTCGCAGAGGACGTCTGGGACGAGGATGTCGCGAGGGATGTCCCACTCCGCGTGATAAGCGAAAGAGTGGTTCCCTTTGCCTGCCATGTGGGAAGGCGAGAAGTACAAGTGGGCTTCTGCAGGAGTACTAAGAAGAGGAGGAGGCTCATGCATGACATATACCCAGGGTTCGGTTGGACCAGGGGTGGGGTCAGCGTCGCCCTGGATATAAAATCCATACGGTGGCAATTTTGAAGAATGTCCTTCGGGTTTAGCACCCTTCTGAAGAACTTCCTCAAATTCCCGGTCTGAGATAAGTTTCTTCTTTTCCTTTTCCATATTCTCTTTGCCAGCTGAAGAGACGGTGTGCCTATAGGTGTGAACAATGTCGGGTTGTGAGGACCATGATTGGGCAGCCTGAGAGTGTTCCCCGTTACTACCACGTTGAACTTGAAGCAAACGGAAGGGGTCATGAACGTGAAGAGTCGTTGGCAGAAGGTGCAATGGAAGGCGTTGTTGAAGAATCGGTAAAGATGTAAACGTCGCATCGAACGGCTCCTAAAAAGAAAAGGAAAAATCTTAGACAAGATGTGGAGAACGCAAAAAGAGAACACCAACGTGACGAAAAAACTCCTTCTCTTTTCCTTTTCCCCCCCGATCAGACCCTCTTAACATCTCCGAGATCCCCGTCCGTTCCCTGTTTTCAGTAGTCTCAACAAGCTTCACGATATCACAGGGGAAGATCTCCTGCGGATCTTCCTCCTCCTCCGCAAGCTCCAACTCGTCCTTTGCGTAGTCCTCTCCGTTCGCTTTCATCCACGTCGCGAGCTTGCTCCCAGTCGACGTCGTCTGCAACCCGCCAAAATCGGGCATACGTCGGACGTAGTAGAAATCAAAAAGCGTCGCGCCCCAGTGCTGTATTTCGTTGGCAGCCATCTTTCCTAGCTTGCTGTTGTCAGGCGTGATTGCCTTTCCTTTTGAGTCGCGAGGCCACCTGGAAAAGATGAATCGTCGCCGAGTGGTTGGTGCCTGAAGACGGCGGATGCGATCAGCTTCCTTCTCTTTGTCTGTGGCGTTCTCTGAGACTTTGGATGGGGTGTCGGACTCGGCATGCAGGAGAATGAGGCGATCAAAAAGTCTTGTTTGGATTT